GCGGTAATCTAATACGGTTTTAATGATAATTAAAATATGAAACGGTAATACTAACAGTCGAGAATTTTATCATGATTTATCGTCAAATCGTTACATCCCTATGTGAATAACAAGGGAGGTTTAGCTTTAGGTATTTTAATTTAAGCATGTTTAGCTTAGTTAACGGAAGGCTACCTGCTGCCATCAGAGCAAGTGTAATTACTGCATTCATGCGCTCCTCCGATGCTCTCATTTCCCGAGTTGTGCTTAAGTCGGAATGTGGAAACAACATGGACGCTCTCGTTACTACAAAGATGTGTTGGATTTGTATTATTAGAGCTTTCCGACTCGAGTTCACGTGCGTTTTCTCAGTCGGGAAATTATTTTTCACGTGCGGCGCTGGTGATGATGCTTCTTACATCCGTTTCGGAGAACCAGAGGACAAATATTCAATCGATCGCTCAGGCATGGCACCGAAATGAGACACCTAATCTGCATTCTGATTCGGTTCTAGTACATAGCGGTTACATAGGTACCGGGTTTTGGTACACAACCCTAATTAGCACCTGCTTCTGGCACTGCCAGTGGACTCCTTCCTGTGTGTCCAGAGACAGTCGTCCCAGAGCTGCTCCAGCCGCCACACAGCAGGGACGCCAGCGGGTTAAAGGACAGGAAGAGCAGGGTGAAGGCACACAGAGCCATGCGAGAGCGGTCCAGCATTCCTCCAGCCCTCTCAACCACAGGCTAATAGAGAGAACGGGAAATAGAAATTGGAGTTAGATCATTACATTATGATTCTTCCAAGTCCTTGACCTCAAGCAATCGAATTATCCAGCACACACTAACACATACAATTACTTCACGGCCGAGGCCAATTCATTAAAGGCATGATAGGAGCTCTGGAAGAGTTTCTGCTACCTTGTTGTCTTCTTCCATCGAGCTGTCCGGCTCCGAGTCGCTGCCGTGGTGGGAGAAAGGGCCGCTGGATTGAGGCGAGCCGACGTCTGATGCTGGAGGGGTGGGGATTTCTGGCTTCACGTCCACCTCCATGATCACAAGGTCCTTCAGAGACTCTGAGGAGGAGAAGCGACAGGTCAATGCAAAGACAACCACGCTCCACTTGTGAAAAACAAATGTGCTTAAGTGTATTGAATGTGCACTTCAAATCTTAAAAGTATACTAAAAAAAAACTGTACTTGCAGATAATATATTACTGGAATAAAAAGCCATTTAAGTGTACTTAAAGAGAGACATCTGCATGACTAATAAACTTTTAAAAAGTGCACTTTTTATGTCAAATTAGAGGTTTTACTTAAAAGTACATTCTAAGTCATTATATTCATCATCTTTTGGCATGCTTTAAAGTACACTTATTATGATGTTGATTTGCATACTGAAGCACATGTAGAGCACTTGATTATCATTTAATTGTTGTGTTATTTGATAATGCATTTAAAGTTTATATTTTTTTAAATGTAATAAACCGCAACTTCGTCATTATAAATGTGTAATTACAAGTATATTTAAATACGTGACAGACATGTTTCAATAGAAGGACAATGATTGCCAGTACCTTCGGCAACACGCTTTAACTATGTGACCCTGGACCACAAAACTTGAATTGAATTCAAGTTGAATTTGATGATTATACATCAAATTATACATCTGAAAGCTGAATAAATAAGCTTTCCATTGATGTATGGTTTGTTAGGATCGGACAATATTTGGCTGAGATACAACTATTTGAAAATCTGGAATCTGAGGGTGCAAAAAAATCTAAATATTGAGAAAATCATCTTTAAAGTTGTCCGAATGAAGTTCTTAGCAATGCATATTACTAATCATAAATTAAGTTTTGATATATTTACAGTAGGAAATTTACAAAATATCTTCATGGAACATGATCTTTACTTAATGTCCTAATGATTTTTGGGATAAAAGAAAAATCTGTAATTTTGACCCATACAATGTATTGTTGGCTATTGCTACAAATATACCCCAGCGACTTAACACTGCTTTTGTGCTCCAGGGTCACATATAATCAACAGAAGTAATTATGAATTACATATAAAGATGCACTTAAGTGGGTCAAAAAGCACCCTAAAGTTCAACTTATATTAAATCATATCATGGCATTTAATATAAATTTAAACTGAACTTACTGTTCTTCTGAATGGACATTTTGAGTGCCATGTTCTCCTGCTTTAGTTTTTGGTTGGACTGCTGAAGGTAGCGAACGTAGTCAATGGCTTTCCTCAACACGGACGACTTATTGAGCTGAATAAGAGAGAAGATTCATCTTATAATGATGTTAAAGACATCTAGGTAAGATAAGAGCTACAAAATCTACTTCGGTTAGCTCATACCATCTGGTTAAGGTTTTCTAATGAATTTCAAGGGTCACTACATGGGAACTAAATAACCAGATTTGTAATAAGGTTTTGACAGACTATGAGCCCACCTTAGCTTCTGTCCCAGCCACCAGGTCTTTGAGCTCAATGATCTTGTCATTGATGGAGGAGCGGTAGCGTTTTTCGATGGCGTTATGGGCCGTGCGTTTCTCGCCCTTATGCGGCAGGCCGCCTAGTTTCCCGCTGATGGTGATGCGACTGATGGGCAGTTTCTCGGTGTCCACCATCAGTGGAACGGTGGTCAGGATGGTGCCTCCACTCATCAGTGCCTGAGACAAGAGATGTACAGATCCACAAAATAAAAAACGGGGGCATTTGGGAACTTTTCAATTAAATATAAAAATGTAACTTATTTAATTACCTTTGACAAGGTTTAAATTTGACCCTGAAAAATGTGACCCTGGAGCATAAAACCAGTAATAAGGGTCAATTTTTCGAAATTGAGATTTATGCATCATCTGAAAGCTGAATAAATGAGCTTCCATTGATGTATGGTTTGTTAGGATCTGACAATATTTGGTTGAGATACAACTATTTGAAAATCTGGAATCTGAGGGTGCAAAAAAATCTAAATATTGAGAAAATCATCTTTAAAGTTGTTCAAATGAAGTTCTTAGCAATGCATATTACTAATCAAAAATTAAGTTTTGATATATTTACGGTAGGAAATTTACTAAATATCTTCATGGAACATGATCTTTACTTAATATCCTAATGATTTTTGGCATAAAAGAAAAATCTATAATTTTGACCCATACGATGTATTTTTGGCTATTGCTACAAATATACCCCAGCGACTTAAGACTGCTTTTGTGCTCCAGGCTCACATATCTTGAACAGGGATCTACAGCACTACTAATATGATTGACGGCCAGTTCACACCAAGAACGAAACATTAAATTGAAGCAAATCTACAAGCTTGGTGCTATTTAGCAACTCTTGGTCTTGGGACTGTGTTTGTGTACCTGCAGTGAGGTGTTCTGGACTGGCGTCGTGGATGTGATGCAGGGTGACGCTACTGTTGTTACTGTTGTCACTGGCTTCAAAGTTGTGAGCAAGAGAGAGTCTGCCTTAATGAACTGCGGCTGCAACAAAACCTGCATGCAAACACACATGAAGAATGCTCAACGCACACAATAAAGCTTATTCGGCTGTCAAATGTAAATTACTGTGCATGTGGGCATCAATACAAGCACTTACAGGAAGCTGCTGAACCTGAGGGGAGATGGTCTGTGTGGGAGGGCTGGAGGAGGTGGTCAGGATTGGTGAAGCCGTGAGGCTCTGCACATGGGCTTGGATGGCCATTGGCTGAACATTCTGTAGAGAGGCGGGGAGACTCGGGATTGGCTGAGGGGAGCTCTGCTGAGTGACAGCTGCAATAACCAGATCACGAGAGGACAGAAAGGCAAGAATTTCATTAAACATGCTTTGCAGTCTCACACTTACTTCTAGCCCACATACGAATAATAATATCCTATGAATTTTTAAAACGTAAGCACACACTTTTATCTCATCACAGAAATCTCCAGTTCATTCTGATGGGGTGTTCGGTAAAGCTTGTGTCTGTAATAATAACAGTAATTCACCGTGACTGAACTTTGATCTACGCTAGTGTGATGCTGTATTCTCTCTTTGGCCTGCTAGAGACATTACCTAAGCCTTGATAAGCAGAATGAAACAAAATGATAAAAGCACATACAAAGAAAGAATGTGGGCTGGGCAGCTTTACACGTGAGCACAATGTACGGTAAAAGTTCACTGGGTTTCCAGGACTGACAACAGTGACTTCACCGTCTGCACCTTGAACTCAAATTGCCTTTTCATAACGGATTACAGCTACCTGAAGAGAACTGCTGGCATATGACTGATCAAAGGTGATGGATTTTATAGTCTTAGTAATGCCATCATGCCGTGCATTACTCATGAACAACATGTGCATAATCACTGCTCAACAGAACACACAAACAACCTTAAAAAAAGGGTGAGTTAGATCGATGACAGCATTTGATCTAGTTACTATAAAGTTATTCACGAGTCAAACTGACTGAATGAGATTCAGTTTAAATTGAGGCAAGAGGAAAAGAAAAAATACCATCTAAACTTTTCTAAAGACAGTAAGTTCCCCTCAGACATGCATTCATATAAACTCCTACCCCTAAATGAATCGCGATTTGTTTAGCATCTCAACCGATTTGAATCGATTTTCAACCGGCTCGCGGTTAATCGTTACATCCCTATTGAAATTGGTTACATTTTTTTGATGAGTTACAGTAATGGAAAAACATGTTGCCATGACTTGGAGCATGTTTATAAAACAGCAATGTAGTAAAAATGGAAAAGTGTACAGATGACAACGATTTCTGTTCACACGGATCCGTGCCTATAGATCGGGCACTAATATGCATTGGGAGATGGAGCAGGCTGAGCTTTGGGCTGCGTGGTCTGCAGTGTGGCGGGGTTTGCGGGGGTGGAGGTCACCTGTGCCAGAGGAGACTGCTGGAAAGTGGGAGGCTGAAACACCTTGTCCGGGATGGAGGAGCTGCGGGTGATGGGGGGGCCCAGCAGGGCATCCAGGTGTGGGCTGCTGCTGAGGATGGAGGAGGTGTTGGTGGGTGGAGGAGAGGAAGGGCTGGAGCGGGGCAGGACTGAGAGGTCCTGCGAGGGGGCAGGAAATGGAGCGTGATCGAACAGCCCTCCAAACTCCATGTCCTGGTGGTTGATAAACTGGAGCATATCTGGTAAAACATGAAAATAGAGACAGATATAGTGAGCAATGGGATCCTCCAAGCATACAACTGATCGGTTTGATTCCCAGGGAACGCATAAACTTGATCAGATGTACGGTCAAAAAGTGTGTGTTTGACATCACTGTAATAAAACGATGACGTTATCACCCAGATTAATCCAATCCTTCCAATTAGGGCTGCACGATTATGACAAAAATCATAATTGTCGATTATTCCCTTGAAATTGTAATTGCGATTATTAATTACGATTATCACAATTTACAATTGAATGATGTTTATACCATTGTTTGAAGCAACCGCATGCCATATTTTTAGATGAAAGTAAACAAGCTGAAAACCCTCAAACTGAAAAACCTTTAGTGCTTTTCTATAGTATTAAGCCTCAAATGGCATCTATTCATCGGACTGGTTTCTTCTTTAAATAAAAAAGGTAAAATATGAATGGTATTATAGTGTTATACTAAAACTAAAATAAAAAAAATGGAAAAACCCTTAAGATAACTGATGTAACTTTTCATACTTTGCAGTAAAAGTGGCTCTCCTATTAACTTTGTCCTATAAGTGCTGCTCTCGTGAAAAAAACAGTGAAGATCACTGATCTATGTGCTGGCTAGAGTAAAAGTTGTCAAAATAAACTTTTAGCAGATAAACTACCATTCAAAAAGTCTGAGATTGGTAATATGTTGTAATATTTTAGGAAGAAGTCTCTTATGCTCACCAAGACAGCATTTATTTGATCAAAAATACAGTAAAAACAGCAATACTGTGAAATATTATTACAATTTAAAATAAGTGTTTTCTATTTCAGTATGTTTTAAAGTGCAATTTATTCCTGTGATGCAAAGCTGAATTTTCAGCATCAGTGCTCCAGTCTTCAAGATTTACTTGATGAATACAAAGTTCAAAATAACAGCATTTATTTGAAAAAGAATTATTTTGTAACATTATAAATGTCTTTACTGTCACTTTTTAAAAAAAAATCAATTCAATCCATCCTTTCTGAATAAAAGTACCAAAAAAACAAACAAACAAAAAACTCACTTCTGGGAAAAATTGACCAAAAATACTGATGACTCATCTTGCCCACATTTTTGCCCAACAAAATGTTCTTAAAACCCCCTGCCTTGCTAGAAATAGCATGTAGCACATCCTCTTGGCACATAATAAGAACATGATGCATTTTATTTTCTTTCCGAACCATGAATTGTTTGCAAAGGAAATGTTTTGAATTCAGTTATTTTAAAAACATCTTCACTGCTTTCTTTTTATTCACTGGTGGTTTTACCAGGCTATGAAATAAACTAAAGCTTATTGGCTATTAAAATAAAGCACTTATATGGCCCTGCCCTGGCTTCCTGTTGTAGAAACATGTCAAAAAAAAAAGGTACTTGATAGGGCTGCAAGATAAATCGAAATCGCGATTCGACAGAAGCTGCGATTGTCATGTGTATCTTTCAGTGAAGCACGGTTCTGTGATCAGCAGTAAATCTCCATCCAAAGGCCAGAGGGCGCTCTCGCACTGAAACTCCAAATACGCCTCGCAGAAGAAACCCAGAAAATGCCTATCGCTGCAGCTGAATAAACAGAAGATTCAACTGCTTTCATTGATTCAACGTGACTAATAAACACACGCCTACGGCAAAATATGGTTTATCGGAGTTCTTATTATTATAATTTTCATTAAAATACAGTATATTTAAAATGACAGCTGTCATTATCGCGAACGATTTCTTCGATTTCATAATCGCGCAATAAAATCGTCTGTGATTTTTTTTGCGTAACTTGTCAGTGAACTACGGCTCTGTGTAGTAAATGCTGCTCCATCTGAAAGCACGTGATGATGATGATTTACTACTGATCACAGAACCGGCTTTACTGACAAAATGCGCATGACAATCACATTCGATTAATCATGCAGCCCTAGTACTTGACAATATCTTTTTGTGGGGTTTTGTTTTTGCTAATTATATGACGGTCCCATATATTTCAACATTTATTTAAATTAGCCTTTTTTTATGTGAAATGTACTTGGCCACAACTATGATCTTTCTTCCTTGAATATTCAAGAAGTGCTTTAAATTAACTTTAATATGAACACAGTTGATGATCAGTATAACACACACAGCACTCATATTTTGCATTTACCTCTATATAATTTTTCCCTAGTTTCTCTTTTTTTTTTAACTTTATCACAAAAGTATGGGGGGGGGGGGACTATTTCAAAACCTCAGAATGTGTTTTGCATACATCTAACCCCATATAACATAAGACCGCTTCAGTGTGCACAACCATGTGTTCGTATGAGGTGATCGCGCTCAGCCAATCAGAGGCCTAGAAAGCACCTCGCTATGTGAGGTTACTATCGGACACCGTCCGCTTCAGCGCAGGGTTACTGTCGGTCACTTCACTATATTCACTGGACACTTAATAATCTCAATACTAAAGGCTACAATAATGCAAAGCATATAAATGTAAACAAATGCACACGGTGATATATAAATCACACTCTGAAGATAATATATATTTTTAAAAACACATTTTGGTGTGAGATACAGAATCGACGCCGTTTTATGTGCTTAGGTCTTAAATATGAGTTATAATGCAACTGTGTTGGTAGGTCAGAATATGTCCGAATGGCCGATAGTAACCTCGCGTGACGTCACAAGTTGGAGGGGGGCGGGGCCGCTCTCAATGCAACTTCTGCTGCCAGACAATGAACACTGTCCACAGACACCCTGCGTTTATTTCCGATTTCATGAAGTCTAGCATACAAAGCAACAATAACCATGCGCAAATACAGCAGCCAGGCATCTGATTTTTTTTTAGGTATGACCAGCACCTGATCAGACCTACTGCCTTCCCCTGTCACTGTTAGCATGTTTAAAAGTGGATGCAGTTGATTCTGAGCAAAACAAGCATCCTATATGATGACACAGTGGTTAGATATGACAGCTCGCGTATTGTAGATTTTACAAATAACTATAAAATAAGTTTGAACATAAACAAACACGTGTATACGTCTGACAGCACCATATGTAAATATGTATCGGTCCCTAAACTACAAACACACCATTCACTTTGTCCAGCACCGCGAGTGTAAACAAACGATCTCTTACCGTCGATGTCATAGAGCAGAGCCGTGTCGATATCACTCGGATCGTGAAAAGACAAACTGGAGCCCAGGGTGTCCAGCGACGGGTCGTCAAAAGACAGGTTCATTGTCCTCAAACGCTCTTTCAAGCCGACTTCAAAAGTATTCGAGACACAGCGTTATTCCATGTAAACCGAGAACTTCTTGCACTTGTCGGGAGAGCAAACGTTCGCGGACATTTACTGGCTGCGTTTCGTATTATCCGTCCGCGTAATTCTCGACAAATTCAACTTTGGTGCTGATTCTGTCTACTACCTGCTCGCGTTCGTTTCCATGCTGCCGCACAAGGCAAAGTTGACTTAAGAGTTTGCTTTGCACATTAGCATGCTAGCAGCGAGAGCCAGGCAAGCCCCCAGACCGCCGTGGGTGATTGACACGCCGCCCGACCAATCAGAACTCGCTCTTGAAGCGCAAGCGATGACGTGCGCATCTCGGTACAGCCATTCTAGTGTATTGTAATCTAAAAGGTTGGAAAGATACAAAACTGTAATTGAAGTCACTTATTCGAGATTGACTTTTTACTGTAATTTGTTTTTACTTAGAGTATGTTTTGGATTGTTATTATCATTTTTGTTGCCGTTTTTTACATATATTATTTTGATTTTAAGCATTTAAATGTTTTAAAGGCGTTTGTCAGCTATTTAAATAGGTTAATAATTACACTGACCTGTTTAATTAATACGCTGACAGTCAATTTGTGTTAAAAGAGTATAAGTATTCAATATATTCTTAATGTGAAGGGCCGAATATACAGCCCATTTTTTGTTTACAAAATCTCAGTCGGTGGTGGGCTTGTCTCCGTCAGCCAATCAGAGTTAAGCAGAGGTGGGCGCTGGGCGATCAGGTTAGGCTGAGCCGCAGCGATGACTCCGCCTGTAGAACCAGAGAAACCGACCAATAGGGAGTCCGAAAGCGAGTGGGCTGATATGACGACACACGTGTGGCTCCGTGATTACATCATGTGTTTCTCATAGAATAAAGGTAATAAACATGAACGGGGATCTTTATATAAAAAATTAAACACATGTGCACAAAATATATGATCCACTTAAAACTGAATATAAATTGATCAAGCAATTAATCTAAATAGGATGGATTGATCTGACCTAAATAATTAGTTGTCGTTGTGTTTACAAAGTTAAGTAATTCTATACTGAACTCGCATATATCAACAAACCGAGGTGAAGTGGGTCAGTGACCGAGAGTAAAACGGGCGAAACCAAGGAGCTCGAAAACATGGCATGTTACAAAAGTGTGTGCTGAAGGCAAGAGTCCCGAGGTTTCAGTCACAATCCTCTGACATTCTTCTTTACAAATCCTCGTTTTGTACTTCTAATAAGTACAAAAAAATAATTGTTTTGTTTTGATCTCGCCGCTGCGCCCGTGTGAGATTTTTTTTATGGATGGGCGCTTTTTATTTCACGTATTTTGGACTGATGCATGCAACACCCGCTGAGTGGCATTATAGCCGTCATTTTTTCCCCTCAAAATAACGGCTATAATAGAGTATTTTATAGATAAGCTTGTTAAAATGAATCACGCAGGAAAATGTTTGCAATAAGCAAATTAATCACTTTAATAAAATAATTTGGATTAAACAATAAATCTGGCCATAGGAAATCGTCATTATTCTAAAATACATTTAAGACGTTATGAGATAAATACTTTTAATGTCACATGGCGACATTCATTTAAGCAGTTCATCCAAATAATGATGAAAGCAGAGCAAGATATCACTAACAGGTCTTTCTCACAAGTACTTAAAGGTAAAAGTACTTAAAACTAGATATTAAAGTCTTTGGAGATTAACATTAATCTGTCTGTTATTACATTATGGCAGAACAAATATAGCCATCTTTCAAATGGCACTGGTTTAAGAAATCAGACCGTTATTGATTTCTGAACATGCTGCAATTTCATTTCAATCAAACCCACAGTGACTTGTGCCTCATTTGCAAGTAAAAGCATACGGCCCTCCAGTGTTTGAACGGCTGATTTACTGATTTAGGGGGAGGTTCGCAACAGGTTTGATTCGCTGGCAACAACATTTAAGCCCCTCCCATCATTAGACGCTTAACATTTGAGGTCTGAGAGTGTAAAATGCATCATGCTTGATCTAGCTGTGTTTGCTCTATATACATATATGACTGAAGTGAACGTCTTCCTCACGTTATTGGAAGATCGCAGTGCAACATTTAGCATGATTTAATTTTACACGGACTGGAATGAAAACCACCGGCGATCCTGCAAAGCCTGAAGTCACATGGAATAGAATCTTTCATGACCAGCATTTACATTTTACACCACACAAGTTAATACAATTACTATACACACTTTCCTATTGTATATACACATTTTTGTCTACGTATGGATACATATTTTACAAATGCCATTAGGCTAATATAATTCTTGGTTAGGTCTAGCAAAGGACAAAGCAAAATATCCATTCATTTCCAATCTTTACTTGCCAAACGTGTCGGTTTTTGCAAACTGAAATCAGTCCTTAAACAGGAATCTGACAGAAAGATGCAGTAAGTGGGTGAATCTTACGAAGAAATGTGTCATATTTCATATACCCCGAAAACAAAAGATGTCAGAAATGGTATATTGTATCAAGCAGATGAAACCTATTTTTGGCGAACGAAACCTAATTTCTATCCCGGTTTAAATATGTAGAGTCTATAGGTATACGATAGAGGTTTAGGAGTAAACTATAACAAATAAAAAAAAATGTAGGTAAATTGCTCTGAAAAGTGCTGGTGTGAACACATTTTTAAGAGTATAACTTGTTCGGGGTTTATTTATTTCAATTAATTAATTAAATTTTTTAAAAACGTTTTTGAAACAAGTCAAAAGACCTTATTTATTTGATCAGAAATACAATAAATCGGTAACATTGTGAAATCTTATCACAATTTAAAAAATGACTTTCTATTTGAATATATTTTAAAATGTAATTTATTTCTTCGGAAATCCTTCTAATGTGCTATAGAAGAGGATTAGGGCCAAGCAATAATAAAAAAATAAAACCGTCTCGAGATTAAAGTCATTATAACGCAAGATTAAACCCGCAGTTTTTCGAGGAAAAAAAGTCGGAAATAAAATGTTGAGAGTAAACTCATTCGATTTCGAGAAAGTCGCTTTGGAAAGAGTCTACTAAAGCAATAAGCCCCGTGAAGCGGAGTGCCTAAAACCCCCTTAGCTGTTATAAATTCACTGTAAACCACGGCTTCATGGGGCTTATTGTTTTTATAAAACGGTTATTCCATATACGTAGTAAGGTTTCACGAAATAAAACAGAGTAAATAAAGTGTAATGATATAAATAAAAACATTATTCTTCCACCAAACAATGTAGTTCCTCACAATCAGTTGTGATTGCAACAAAGTGGTTGCCAAGCAACACACAGAAGTAAACAAAGGGGTATGTTACTTTGTAGAGACATTTAGAACAGCTTCGAACGCGGCTCAGCCAATCAGAATCAAGGACCGGAACTCTCCGTTTTATAAATATTTTTACAAAAACCTTTATCAACGGAAAGCACGTTTTTATTCTTCTGTCTGGTAATTCGCACATGATGATTATGAGAATGTAGCCACTTTGCTTCAGCAGAGCGCCGTTTACCACAGAGACAGACCGAGTCACAATCCATAGTTGACTCAGAACCGGCCCGCATGAACACCTCGCAGAACGGCGCGCTCATGGAATGACCAACTTTAAGAGCGTTAGTTCATTAATGAGCGATAAATACGAAACCAATCGGCTCCATTCGACAGGAGTGAAACAAACGAGCTCTCTAAAGAGAATTATTTTGGCTACATGTTTGCTTAAGCCATGGCTTGACTGCACCGTTCAGCTCGAAGGTTATAGCGGTTATGAAGCTGGATTCTCACAGTGCTCTATCAGTAACAGCAAGCGTTTGGAAGGGAGTGTGATCATCTGTCCCGTCACTGGTCTACAAGGCAAAGAGATTGTCCTCCGTCTGCTGTGTCGTCCTGCGGTTGCTGCTAGACGTGCTCGCGGGAGGTCTGGGCCCTCCAGCAGGGGCCGACGGTAAAGCCTTGTCTGCACTTTTGGCCCGCTCCTCTAAGAACTTGTCGAACTCTAAAGAGACATCAGGAGAACAACTGTCAACTGCATTCACGAGATTAACCCTATAAAGACCAATAATCCAAAAATTTGTTCTTTTTTAATGGATCCGTGAAGATTGCGTACAACAGGTTTCATGTTGATAACTTAGAAATCAGATATGATACAGTGGGCTTTATAGAGTTAATGCAAATTTGAAATGGTATTTGAATATTTCCGGAATGTAACACTGAAGGGCTGGACATACGGGTAAATACACACGGTACCTTTACTCGTGACTCCTTCCTCGGCCTCTTCACCCTTCTGTTTAAAGAAGTAAAGAGAATAAAATGATTAACACATCAGACCAGTCCGTTTTATTACTTGTATGCCACGTTGAGAATGAAAAACTACTTACCATTCAGCTGGAAAACCACTTTACAATGTGACATTTTTTATAATATTTACGTATGAATTATCCCTATTATTTATGACAATAGATCAGCGTTGGGGACGTAATGACATTAACTTAAGTGTAACGAAAAATAGTCTATAACTTTTTTTTTTCTGTAGCTTGGACCTAAACAGAACTGCAAGAACTGAATGGAAATTTTTAAACAGTATTTATTCAGAATTCTTACAAATTCTGAATAAATACTGTGTCTTACAAAGGTATTGTCACTAAATCAGTATTGGCTATTTAAAAAAATAAAATAAAATCTGCTCAGTTTTACAACGTAACAAATTCTGAATCCCAGCAGTTTGCATCAAAGTAACTTACTTCCCCAACACTGTTCAGTGGACATACATCACGTCACATTTATTGACTTCCACAAACTACACAGTTATTTGAATATCAGTACAAACACTAGGGGTGTGCCATATCATACCGTCCACGATAATACCGGTATACATTTTTACATGATAAAAAAATGTCATATCGCCATATCAATGATATAGCGACGCAATGACATATGGCACATTTACGTTCCCTAGCGCGCACAACAACAACACCACAAACCCAACAGGTGTGTTCAACTTGAAGCAGCGCTGCGCACACTGAGCGGTTCTAGAGCATATTCGAGCGCACACTCTTAAGGCCCGTTCCCACCAAGTACGATAACTATAAAGATAGCGATAAAGATATAGTTCTCAATATTAAAGAATAGCAGAGTCCACACCACAACTATAACGATAAAGACAAAGAGAAACGATATCGTTGGAATCACTTTCAAAACGATTGTTCTCCAGCTGATGAACGATAAAAAATTGACAGCCAATCAGAATCCATCCTGCTGTAACGAGCTCGAGCATTTAAAGCGGCAGACGCACGTTCGCTTAGAATAAACAGACGATATCGTTCGCTGGTGTGGACGCTAATATCGTTATCTTTATAGTTATCTTTATAGTTATCGTTCTTGGTGTGAACAGGGCTTTACCGTCAAAAATAGGTGAGGCGCCTATCTTTAGCGAAGCGATGCAGAGAGCCGCTTCTGAAACGTGCCGCAGCACGGCTGGTGTAAACACAAGCATTGACTAGAGTGGCCGCGATCAGTTCCGGTGGCCGCGTCAGAGCCATAATGCGTCGCATACGCGTGCAGTGTAAATAAGGGGTAATAAGGTGTAAATAAGGGGTAATAAGGGGTATTTTGACGTCATCGGTCTGCTTCAAGTCGAACACACAGCTGCTGCTGCCACCTTATGACAATAGATTTACACTTCGAATTAGGTAGTCTGTCATCAATGACAGTACTGTGTCTTACAAAGGTATTGTCACTAAATCAGTATTGGCTATTTAAAAAAATAAAATAAAATCTGCTCAGTTTTACAACGTAACAAATTCTGAATCCCAGCAGTTTGCATCAAAGTAACTTACTTCCCCAACACTGTTCAGTGGACATACATCACGTCACATTTAGTGACTTCCACAAACTACACAGTTATTTGAATATCAGTACAAACACTAGGGGTGTGCCATATCATACCGTCCACGATAATACCGGTATACATTTTTACATGATAAAAAAATGTCATATCGCCATATCAATGATATAGCGACGCAATGACATATGGCACATTTACGTTCCCTAGCGCGCACAACAACAACACCACAAACCCAACAGGTGTGTTCAACTTGAAGCAGCGCTGCGCACACTGAGCGGTTCTAGAGCATATTCGAGCGCAAATTAGGTAATCTGTCATCGATGACAGTAGCTCATTGGAAAAGGATGGAAAATGCCCTTTATTTTGTTTGCACTAATAAATGCTACTGCCTGCCAACTGCAATCACCAATAAAACGTTGTTTCATATTTTTTTTAATATCGTCATAAATATCGTTATCGCAAATATTCTTGAAATATCGTGATATAATTTTGAGGCTATATCGCCCACCCCTAACAAACACAACAATAACCAACTCCGCAAGATGACATAACATTCAACAACATCGCACTCATTGCAACTCCAACAACACAGGCTGGAGCTTTACGGACATCTTTAATTGGTAATTGATCCCTAGTTAATGTTCATTAGGATCATGTGAATGAGTGGCATATGGTGGACTGACAACATGACTGGTGGAAATCAAAAAATAACACAAAAATTCCAAAATAGAACCAAACAGGCTTGGTTAAATGAAAGTGAGTACGACGACATGAAGTTACCAGGGAAACAAAAACAAAGAGAATTAAATCAAGGTAAAGAAGCCTCACCACATCAGCACAGAGCCACTCCTCAATGTCATCCATGACAGAGGACTGCGATACGGGGATCTATGGAGCAAAGCCGTGGACAAACCAAAGACCCCCAAAGCCACGAAAGAACAAAAAACACCCCCGACAAACAAAAACACAAACAATAAAATCACCAGAAGGTCTGAGAGGAAAATAACAACAACAGAAAAAATGCGATCAGCGTCAAACCGAGCCACACACTCACACAAACACGCACACTCTCACACACACACACACACACACACACACACACACTCACACACACACACACACACACACACACACACACATAGAGCTGGAGCAACACTGTTCACATATAGGATTATGGTGAAAGATTCTGTCAGAGAAGATCCATAATCAGAGCTTGATGATCGCAGTTTGAGAACAGCGGCACAAGAGCTCCCCCTACAGAGAACATTTCTCCCTGTATTTCTGCTGGACAGGACCGAATTGTTCGTTTTTAATTTTTTTATCTATTTTTGTTTACTTTTTTAAATCCAATATAACAGCCACAAGAAGTCTGCAGTGTCATTTCTTCTATTTGTTAAGTTCAAGATCAAAATCAAAGTTTTCAAACACTACCAGTCCAAAGTTTGGACAAAAATTATTATTTATTCAGCTGTATGAAATTTGTTTTGTGGACATATTTAAATTGTGCCAATGTATGAATTTCTTTACAAAAAGAAAATAGCATCTTCTTAATGTAATGCCTTCATGTTTTATTTTAGTAATTTATTTATTTAGGTTGTTTTTTTTAATGTTTGTAATAAGTAGAGAAATAAAAGTAGCCAAACGTGGAGGATAATATAATATAATTAATATAATATAATATAATATAATATAATATAATATAATATAATTTTGGTTATTTTGTTAAGTTAAATCTGATAAAATACAAATGTTAGAACAGGACTGTCATTCAGTTTAGAATGTTGTGAATGAATGAGGCGAGGAGGGGACTGTCAACAGTAGTGATGATGAAGATGATGGAAATGGAAAGGCTCTGACCACACAGCTATCCAGTTTAAGATATGAAGGACCAACCTCTGCACAGTGTAACGCCCATTCACACTGACAGCGATTTTATGAGTGGATTTACACTACCCTTTAGACGTTTGGGGTCAAGTCTTTTTTTTTTTTTTTAATAAATACATTTATTCAGCTTTAAATTGTAAAGAAGTGACATTAAAGATATATGTTACACAGCCTTTCTATTTCAAATAAAGGCTGTTCTTTTGAACGTTCTATTCATCAAAGAATCCTGAAAAAAAAAAAATGTATCAGTTTCTACAAAATATTGATGATAAGAATGTTTCTTGAGCAGCAAACTTCTTTTTAACTTTTTATTCATCAAAGAATCCTGAAAAAAAAAAAATGTATCAGTTTCTACAAAATATTGATCATAATAATGTTTCTTGAGCAGCAAATTAACATATTAGAATGATTTCTGAAGATCATGTGACACTGAAGACTGGAGTAATGATGCTGAAAATACAGCTGCGCATCACAGGAATAAATGACAACTTACAATATATTTAAATAGAAAACTGTTGTTTTAAATTTCAAAATATTTCTATTTTTACTGTATTTTTGATCAAATGAATGCAGCCTGTGTGAGTTAAAGAAAATGACAAAACTTGTGAACAGTAGTGCATTTTTGGTGTTCATACTGCTGGATGCCCTCGTGTTTTGGATGGGCAGCACATCTGGCCGATCTGATCACAAATGCAGTGATTGGCACTAAAACTAACATTCTCCAGTGGGAGACAGATCTTAACTCCTATAGCAGTCTTCAGATCCTGTTGCTACTCATTTGCATAAAGTTAAACTCTTGTTGCAACACTAGACACAACCACACTGCATCGTCAACCTGTTACCTGGAGTCAGCAGCTCTCAGTGAAATCTCCATCAGTGTGAACGTCTTTTGAAACCCTGAGTTTGGAGCTCTACAGAACAAAGGATCCAGAACCTTCCATGAGCCGAGGGCTGGTTATAACTGTGTTAATTCATGATAAAGTCCAGGGTCTAGATGAGATGAAATCTACTGCTTTTACCATGAAAAAAGGGTAGGTGTTTCCTACCTGTGATGATAAATGAGGTGATGAGAGGAAACTCACAGTAAAAGGGACAGAGCAAAGAGAAGAGCCCAGAAAATGCTCTGGAGCCTCTCAAGTGTTATTAAATCAGAGATGTTGAGAGAGAAAAAAAAAAAAAGAGGCTGCGCTTTCCATACAATAAAAAATAAAACACATCAGTGTCTCAGCAATGGATGCTCTGCAGTGAATGGGTGCCGTCAGAATGAGAGTCCAAACAGCTGATAAAAACATCACAATAATCCACAAGTAATCCACAGCACTCCAGTCCATCAGTTAATGTCTTGTGAACAGAAAAGTTGCATGTTTGTAAAAAAACAAATCCATCATTAAGGCATTTTAAATTTAAACTGTCGCTTCGAAAGCAAAATACAAATCCATAATCCATAATCCAAACAATTCCTCCAGAGAAAAAAAGTCCCTCTAACATCAAAATCCACCAACATATTTGTTTAGAACTGTGTTTATCTGTGCATATTTCTCTCCTGATTCAGACAAGAACACTTTTTTTTTTTTTTACTGGAGAACGCAATATTATGGATAGAGGACTCATATTTTAGCCAGAAGCAACGGTTTTTCCAATCACAAGACATTAACTGATAGACTGGAGTGCTGTGGATTACTTGTGGATTATTGTGATGTTTTTATCAGCTGTTTGGACTCTCATTCTGACGGCACCCATTCACTGCAGAGCATCCATTGCTGAGACACTGATGCAATGCTACATTTCTCCAAATCTGATGAAGAAACAAACTCATCCTGATCTCGGATGGACCGAGAGTGAGCACATTTTCATTTCTGGGTAAAGTTTTCCTCTTAAGCTTTATAAGTTGCCATTAAAAATATTTTACTTTACTTATTTAATCCGACTGCTGCAACCTTCACGGTGCTTTAGTGGAGTTTGACAGCTGTGGTCATTATAAACTCTCCCTGTGACAACCGCTTTCATGGAAAAATAACGTTGGAACGACGTAAATAAAGCCAGATCTTTCATGTTTGGCTGATCTCTATAAACACATATGGAATCAGGATCACCGCAGCAGGCTCTCTCTTTTACTGTGGCTGTGTTTTAGTGGTGGTGGGACGGAGGTACGGGCTGGAGATCGAGGTCAGGGCAGAGTGGACACGGAGGGGACAGTGGTTCTGCTGAAATCCTCACCATTCCTTGGGGTAATGAGCCAGCTGTCTATGGGCTCCAACTCAGCATTAGGACCTTTTACATTCGGCTGAATCAACAACAGAGAACACCTTACAGATGTGAAGAAGAACAAGAGCACCCACCACAAACAAACACCCCTCCATCTTCAGGAGAACTGGAGCAGGAGTCATTCAAGGCAAGAGAAAGCAAGGTAGATGGAGTGTAAAAACAAACTTTGACCCATGGGCTGATCGCTATGAACTGCACCTCTAAACCACGTCCGTTATGTAACCATGGTTGATTTCAACACATGCATGTCTGGCACCAGAGATACAATCAGTCTATAACGATCTCCTAATATCACTCTTGAAGATTTCATAATTCTTTATATTAAGTTTATTCATGTAAACAAATTGAGTTAGCCACTGCCTTAGCAAGCACCACTAATAGAATAATAGTGGATCTCATTTAAGGGTCAGTGGGTTTGTGCTCCTTTTGTGCCCAGATCTAATCATTTATTCACAAATAAATGTGAAATGATACACACAGTAACCTGAACACACATTACTTCACTGATGATGATGGTCGTGTACATTCAGTTTCAATTCAATGTGAAGGTTTTTCTTTCTTTGTCAAGATGACACAACTGTCCTTATTTCATAATGGGGAAAAAAAGGCTCATTAAAAGAATGAAAACCTTATCGAATAGTTGTTATTTATTTTATTATTTAATTATTATATAATAATTATCAGAAAACAAAAAGTCATGTGGTGTGTACCCACCCTAAAAAAAACACACAGGAAATTATATCAGAGGACCCAGATAATTTGATCTTTTATGGCAAGGTTTCTTAATAAATGTGATTCCCTAAAAGCGTAATGATGATCACAAATTTGTGTTTTGAAAAGATACACGCTTTAAAAAGATTTGTCCTTTTCTTTATTGTCGACACTCTTATTTGTCATTGACCCTGCAAGCCGTGTGTGTGAGTGTGTGTGTGAGTGTGAGTGTGTGTGAGTGTGAGTGAGAGTGTGTGTGTGTGAGTGTGTGTGTGTGTGTGAGTGTGTGTGTATGTGTGAGTGTGTGTGTGTGTGTGTGTGTGTGTGAGTGTGTGTGTGAGTGTGAGTGTGTGTG